AGACCCTGAATAGCCAGAGCAATCTTTTTTTTTTAAGATTTTATTTATTTATTTGACAGAGACACAGCAAGAGAGGGAACACAAGCAGAGGGAGTGGGGGGGGGAGAAGCAGGCTTCCTGTGGAGCAGGGAGCCCGACGTAGGGCTCGATCCCAGGACCCTGGGATCATGACCTGAGCCGAAGGCAGATGCTTAACAACTGAGCCACCCAGGTGCTCCTAGCTAAAGCAATCTTTTTTTTTTTTAAAGATTTTATTTATTTATTTGAGAGAGAGAGAGAATGAGAGATAGAGAGCACGAGAGGGAAGAGGGTCAGAGGGAGAAACAGACTCCCCGCTGAGCAGGGAGCCCGATGCGGGACTCGATCCCGGGACTCCAGGATCATGACCTGAGCCGAAGGCAGTCGCTAAACCAACTGAGCCACCCAGGCGCCCCCTAGCTAAAGCAATCTTGAGAAAGAACAAAGTTGGAGGCAACCTGCTCCCTGATTTCAAACTATATTTCAAAGCTCTAGTAATCAAAACAGTATGGTATTGGCATAAAAACATCCTAGGTCAATAGAACAGAATAGAGAGCCCAGAAATAAACCCACATATGTATGGTCAACTAATTTACAACAAAGGAGACAAGAATATACATGGCGTGAGGAAAGGACAATCTCTTCAATAAATGGTGTTGAGAAAAACTGGACAGCCACACTCAAAAGAATGAAACCAGGCTACTATCTTACACCATACACAAAAATTAACTCAAAATGGATTAAAGACTTGAATGTAAGACCTGAAACTATAAAACTCCTAGAAGAAAATATTGGCAGTAAGCTCCTTGACACTGGTCTTGTTGATGATTTTTGGATCTGACTCCAAAAGCAAAGGCGACAAAAGCTAAAATAAATGGAACTACATCAAACTAAAAAGCAGAACAGCAGGTTCCTGGGTGGCTCAGTCAGTTAGGCGTCTGACTCTTGATTTCGGCTCGGGTCATGATCTCAGGATCGTGAGATCGAGCCCTGTGTTGGGCTCCACGTTCAGCAGGGAGTCGGCTTGACATTCTCTCCTTTTCCCTCTGCCCCTCCTCCTGCTCATGCGTGTGTGTGTGTGTGTGTGCTCTCTAAAATAAAAAAAAAAACTTTTAAAAAGCTGAACAGCAAAGAAAACCAACAAAATGAAAAGGCAACCTATTGAATGAGAGAAATCTTTGCAAATATTTTATCTGACAATGGGTGAATACCTGAAATATATGAAGAACTCATACAGCTCAATAGCAAAGAAAGAAAGAGAAAGAAATATCTGTGCTTGTTTCGGCAGCACATATACTAAAATTGGAATGATACAGAGAAGATTAGCATGGACATGTAAAATAAAAGTTACATGATGCCTCTGTTTAAAAAAAAGAAAAAGAAAAAATATCTGATTTAAAAGTGGACAGGGGCCCCTGGGTGGCTCAGTCTTGTTAAGCGTCTGCCTTCAGCTCAGGTCATGATCCCAGGGTCCTGGGATCAAGCCCCGCATCGAGCTCCCTGCTCCACGGGAAACCTGCTTCTCCCTCTCCCACTCCCCCTGCTTGTGTTCCTTCTCTCGCTGTATCTCTGTCAAATAAATAAAATCTTTAAAAATAAATAAATAAAAGTGGACAGAAAATGGGGTGCCTGGGTGACTCGGTTAAGTGTCCAATTCTTGATTTCAGCTCAGGTCATGATCTCAGGGTCGTGGGATCGAGCCCTGTGTTGGGCTCCACGTTGAGCTAGGGGCCTGCTTGAGATTCTCTCTCTCCTCCCTCTGCCCCTCCCCTCTCATTCACACTCTCTCTAATTAAAGAAAAAACAATGGATAGAGGACCCTAATAGACAATTTTCCAAAGAAGGCGTACAGATGGCCAATAGGCACATGAAAAGGTGCTCAAATCACTAATCAGGGAAATGCAAATCAAAACCATAGTGAGATTTCCACCTTACACCTGTTAGAATGGCTATTCTCAAAAAGACAAGAAATAACAAGTGTTGGCAAGGATGTGGAGAAAAGAACCCTTGTGTGGGGATGCAAACTGGTGCAGCCACTATGAAGAACAGTATAGAGTTTTCCTCAAAAAATTAAAAATAGAACTTCTGTATGATCCAGCAATTCCACTTCTGGGTATTTATCCAAAGACAATGAAAACACTAATCTGAAAAGATATATGCACCACCCCCCATGTTCACCGCAGCATTATTTACAATAGCCAAGATATGGAAAAACTAAGTGTCCATTGATGGATGAATGGATAAAGAAAATATGGCATAGGGCGCCTGGGTGGCTCAGATGGTTAAGCGTCTGCCTTCGGCTCAGGTCATGATCCCGGGGTCCTGGGATCGAGTCCCGCATCAGGATCCCCGCTCGGGAGCCTGCTTCTCCCTCTGCCATTCTCTCTCTCCCCATCTCTCTCTGTCTCTCATGAATAAATAAAAAAAAAAAAAAAAGAAAATATGGCATATATATATAGAATAGAATACTATTCAGTCATAAAAAGAATGAAATCTTGCCATTTGCAACAACATGGATAGAGCCCTGAGAGGGCATTATGCTAAGTGAAATAAGTTGGACAGACAGACAAATACTGTATGATCTCATTTGTGGAATCTAAAAAACAAACAGGGGCACCAGACTGGCTTAGTAAAGCATGTAACTCTTGATCTCAGGGTTCTAAGTTTGAGCCCCACATTGGGTGCAGAGATTACTTAAAAAAATAAAAATAGCCTGGGTGGCTCAGTCAGTTAAGGGTCTGTCTTTGGCCCAGGTCATGATCCCAGGGTCCTGGAATTGAGCCCCGCATTGGGCTCCCCACTCAGCAGGGAGTCTGCTTCTCCCTCTGCCCCTCCTCCAGCTCATGCTCTCTCCCAAATAAATAAAATCTTTAAAAAAAATAAAAACAACAAACAAAAACACTAAGTTCATAGATACAGACAACAGATTGGTGGTTGCCAGGGTGTGGCAAATAGGTGAAAGGGATCAAAACTAGAGTTACAAAATAAACAAGGCAGTCCGCCCTTGGGGAGTGTAAAGCCAAGTGAGAATAAACCCTAAGTTCCTAGAACACTGTAAGTTTTGTAAGGTTCCTTTTTTTTTCTAAAGATTTTATTTTTAAGTAATCTCAGCACCCACCCAGGGGCTTGAATTTACAACCCTGAGATTAAGAGTTGCATGTTCCCCCATAAAGTTACATATCTTGAGCTCTTATATGCGAGGTGTCATTCCACGCACTTGACAATTTAACCTCACAATTCTGTTGGATAGGTACTATTATTATCTCCATTTCTCTGCTAAAGAAATGTAGATATAAAGAAGTTAAATACCTGGCTGGTAAGTGGCAGAACCTGTTCAATCACATTGTAATTAACTGAGCATTAATGATGGGAGACCTAGGAAGGGCATGAATGAGGGCACTCACACTCTTGCTACAAGTTCCTGGAGATCTTGTGACATTGTGTGGGTTCTGGTCACATTTTCTTTGGCCCTTGGTGAAGTCCCCATCAGTTTAACAGGCAGCATAACCATGAGAAAAACATGTCTTGGGAGTCCACAGGGAGCTGGATTCGAATCCCAGGGTTCCCACTTAAGTGATGAATTTGACCAAGCCAAAGCTTCACTTGCCTAATAGGAACAACAACCGGCTACACTGGGAAGTCACGAGGATTCAATATAAAGTTGAGCCATATGGGGGCACCTGGGTGGCTCAGTCCATTAAGGGGGGGGCGGAGTCTTGATTTCAGTTCAGGTCTTTGTCTCAGGGTCCTGAGTTCAAACCCCTAGATGCGCTCCACACTAGGCCTAGAGCCTACTTTCAAAAAAAAAAAAAAGAGTCGAGCCATATGAAATTGCTGTTTACGGACGTCTAAAACGGGGCTCTGGGCGCCTGGGTGGTACAGTCGGTTAAGCGAAGGGCTCTTGGTGTCCACTCAGTCATGATCTCAGGGTTGTGGGATCCGCCTGCTTTTCACTCTGCGCTCAGTAGGGAGTCTACTTGGGGTTCTCCCTCCCTCTCCCTCTGCCCCTCGTACTCCTGCTCTATCTAAAATAAACTATTTTTTTAAGGGTGGAATCCACCAAAATAGTTAACATTCCTGTGTGCTTCTGATTTTTCCAGTCCTAAATTCCTTTTTCCTATCCTGCTTAAGGCATAGTCCTGCTCAACTGTTTGGGTGGTTCTGATGACTCAAAATTGCATATTGTTGACCTACCCTCTGGAGGCCAGTCAATTAGCCCGTGGCAGCCTCATGAGATTCGGCAATTCCTACAAGGATCTGGAGCTTCTTTCCAGCCAGCCACAAGCACATCCCTTGGGGGCCAGAGAAGTGAAGAGCCATGACATCTCCATGCCCTGCCACACAGAGACTCAGTGCACTTTCATCCTTCTTTCCACAGCCTATTTTGCACTTATTTTTCGCTGTACGGCGGGCAGTGATGTTGGCTCCATTTTAAAATGTGCAAACTTGAGGGCTAGAGAGAGTCGGGCACCAAATAGTGTTGGAAGTAACGGGGTTTTGACGTTAGATAGATCAGTCCAGGCAATGCCTCTAGTGTCTGACCGGCTCAAAGGCCTTGAACCTCTCCAACCTGTTTCCTTTTCTGGACAAGGGTGCTTAATATCTCCTTTCCTCATATAGCTCTTTTGAGTTCAACCCAGGTTTTCCAGGGCTCGCCTCTGGGAGCTCGGGATGTGGCGAGTTGACCCACGCGGAGACCCTGAGGAGAGCGCGTGCGCGCCGCGGGGGGGTTGGAGGGAAGGGCTCTGCCCAGCGCGCGCACAGCCACGGCCATGCATAAATATCGGTATTTTCTTTTCACTGGCGACAGAACTGGCCTCGACATGCCCAGGTTCCGGCCGACTACAAGTACCGCGGTGGGTCTCAAAAGCCGGAACTGAAAGTACCCAGCCCCCGGCAGTGCGGAACAATTGTGCTATCCCCACAGCAGGCGGGGCCAGAAAGCTTGGGCGGATAAGGCCCGCGCCTGCGCGTCTCCATCTTTCTCGGAAGAGACCGCCTCCCTCCCTGCCCACGACTCGTAAGCCAAGAGGCGGGGCTCTGCGTCGCGGCGGGCAGTCGCCGGAGCATGGCGACTGCGGATCCCAGCGGGTCCGGGGTGCGGACGTCTACCCCGGGACCCCGGCCCGGCGGGACCCCGGACTGCGCAGCGGGAGCTACGGGGCTGCCCTTCGGGCGAAGCGGCAGTGGAGTCCCCCGATTGGGGGAGCGGCCCCCGGCGGTTGTGGAGAAGAGGGGACCGTACATGGTGACGCGCGCGCCTTCCATTCAGGCCAAGCTGCGTGAGTGCGGCCCGATGGGGGGGTGTCTCTACCTGGGCGGGCTACCTGGTCCCCCGGGCTGGCTCCGGAGCCCTGCCGGGGCGACCCTGAAGGGGCAGCTGCAGCCCGCTCCCGTCCCAGAAAATCTGTTCGGAGAGAGGGGGCTCCTGGCGTTTGGGAGACACCGCGGAGTGGGGAAGACCCCGCTGACCCGGGCCTTTTGACTTCCAGAGAAGCACCGGGACCTGGCCAAGGCTGTTCTACGGAGAAAAGGCATGCTGGGGGCCTCGCCGAACCGCCCCGACTCTTCAGCGAAAAGGTCTCAGCAGGCGCCACCTCCTCTGTGCAAGCAGTTTCCATTAAAGGCCTTGGTCCTCGGGCTGGGAGACAAGAGTTCTCACGTTTTAAGACCGAGCTAGTGATTCACCTGACGCCAACCCGTCTTTTTCACTATTTTAAAATGGGAAGAGAAATGACCTTTTCTTTTCCTTTAAGGATGTAATGATGTCAAGGAAAGGGCTTTGGAATAACAGTTTTGTCAGTGCATGGGATCATTCTCTGGGAGCAGCACAGTGGCTGGGTACCCTAGGAGTGAGATTAGAAAGCAGTGTGGGAACAGCCAGTGCTGTATTTCTTTTTCAACAGAATGGTAAACTCTGAGGGCTGGATAGGACCTTATCCAGCGCCTCTTATAGATAACAGCTCAAACTCAAGAGAGGTGAAGAAGAGATTTGCCCCAGGACTTGCAGTTTTTCTGTTCGCTGGTTAAAGTAAGGTGAAGTGGGGGAGCTTTCCCCATACTCGAAAGAGTAGGTGTGCTTTTCCTCAGGAGCAGTAGGGGGAGTGGTGTGGGGAAGTGCATATTCCCAGTGGCTGTAGCCAGATACAGGGCAGGCAGTGGTAGCTGTGTGACAGAAGGCAAGACAGGAGTACTACAGTTAGTTCTTTTTCCATAAGAGCAAGGACTCTGGCTTTCCCTGTGAAATGTTGCTTTATCTATGCTTGGTCTCTTCCCCATCTCTCAGGTCAGTGAAGTTTAACAAGGGCTATACTGCCCTTAGTCAGAGTCCAGATGAAAACCTGGTGTCCCTCGACTCTGACAGGTGAGTGCTCTCCTTGAAAATATCCCTTGGGGGGTGACTTGGGTAAAACTGCAGATCTCTTCCAAGACCCTTCATGCATGTTCCAGACCTGTCTTCAGAGCATTATCCCTTCCCAGGATAGCTTGGTTAGAGGACTCAGGTGATCATGCTGCTCTTCGATTTGGAACACTAACCTCGTGTGGGGGAATCCTTCCCCCCCCCCCCCGTTATATCTTCACTGTTAGTGACAGTGACCCTATCCCTGCTAGAGCCAGTAGAAAGAGTCAGTGATACTCATGACAGATTCTGGGCTTGAGTTCTTTGATGGTCTTTGTTTCACAAGTCCTCCAGACCCCCTTGCATGCTCTCCACCTTGCCGTTTGCAGCTGGGCTCCACAGGCATTCCCCTGAACTGACTGTTTTCCTCTTCTCCTAGTGATGGGGAGCTGGAATCCAGATACTCCTCCGGGTATTCCTCTGCAGAGGCAAGTCCAGAGCGCCTTTCTGCACGGGGCCAGGCTGCAGGCAGCGTCACCGCCACTGCCAAATGCTTGTCTTGTGCCTGCTGTATGCACAGCACTGTGCCAGACTTCCGGTCTGTTCTCCAATCTTCTCTTCTGCCCTACTCCCCCAGCAGAGGTATAGGTGTCTGAGGAAAGCTGTTGAAAATCCAAGAGACCATAGACCCTTAGGGCTGAAAGGACCACTCAAGTCTTCTAGCCCAGGTGACCACTTAGAAAAGGAATCCTCTTGAAAAATCCCACCTAAGTGTTTACCAGCCTCTGCTTGCTTGAATGCTTCTTGTAACTGGGTACTCACTCCCTCCAAGAAGCCCTCTGCCTGCCCTTACTCCAACACACACACACACAAATTCCTTCTTCAGGTAGCTCTTAGAGAAGTCTTCCTTATTAATTTGAAGTGTCTCCTGCAGGATGGACTCAGTGGTCCTAGGCCTGCCCTCCAGTGTCACCCAGTAATTCTAGTGTCCCTTTCTTTGATTGCTTTTTATCTGAGATCAGCAGTCCTGTCTCTCCCCTGGCCATTCTCCACCAAGCTTGCTTTCTTCCAGGCCAAACAACGTGTGTTCCTTCAGTTGTTCCATCAATGGGAGCTCAGACTGAGATACCGGTGGGCTGGCCTTTTGCACACATTTCCAGAGTGACGGTCCCAGACAGAGACACGGGGACGGAAAGATCTGTCATGTGCAGCTTACTGCCTTAGATAGAGGCAGAATGCTGGAGACATGACCGTACGCCACTGGTATTTTTTCCTTGTTCTGGAAACCCTTGGCCACCCCCCGAGTGTCTGCCAAAGAGAATAGAAGCAGTTTGTAAATTTTATCCTCCTTGAATATCTGGGTGCCTGAGATAGTTAAAACTAAGAAAAGAAAAATTAGCCAAGAGCCAGAGAAAGTCCTATGCTGTTCCCAATCTCCTGTTTCTTCTGCTCAGCGGAACTGGTAAAGCGAGGCTGACAGGGTCCACTTTGCAGGGAGCAGGCTCTGCTGGCATAAAGGCTATAGCACGTTTAACCGGCAGTGTGGACAAAGCTGCTCCCCACCCCATTCTACATAACTCATCTTCTACCCCATTGTTCTGGTATCCTTGTCCCGTATTCTTCAGCCTTTACAGGGACCAGCGGACAAGGCCATTGACTTTCAAATGTAATCTGGAATCTGATATTTACATCAGATGCCTTAGGATTCTTTAGTGAGAACAGCTCCCCTGGGGGTTAGTGACACTGCAGCCTGGACAGGACTGGCTCGGGCTGCTTGGGGCCCCTCGTTGCTGGGTGGGGGCACTTCCTCATGTAGTACAGTGATGCGTGGAGTTGTCCTGAGGGTGGAGCGTGGACAGGAAGCTCTGGTAAGGGAATGTAGGTCTGCCCTTTTCGGCAGCAGTTATTTCTGCTTTGCCACCTGGCTTATAGTTCTCTCCTCTTCTGCTCTTAGCAGGTGAACCAGGATGTGAGCCGGCAGCTGCTCCAGGATGGGTATCACCTGGATGAGATTCCAGATGATGAGGACTTGGACCTCATTCCTCCCAAGCCTATAGCCTCTTCAACGTGCTCCTGCTGCTGGTGCTGTCTTGGGGACTCTTCCTCCTGTACCCTCCAGTAGACATAACCCCCTAAGATGGGCCCTGCTCACCATGCCTGCAGAGCCCTGTTGGCCCTTCTTAGGCCACAGTGCAGTTGGGGACTGCTGTCAGCCCCAGAATCACTGGAGGCACTGACTCTCTGGGAAGGTCAATGACCTGCAGTTACGCCTTACCTGGTGCTTCTCAGGCCAGAGGCCCCCATGTGGGCCATAGGGTGACAGGTGGAATTCTGCAATTTTCCTCTGCTATTAGAGCAGAGTTTGGAAAAACCACTTTAATAAGGGCAGGAGCAGAGGAATTCTGATGCTTGTGGTGACAAGAGTTGGCTAAGGAAATCTTGCAGACATCTTGACTGGTATTTGTCCTGCTCAATGGAGGGAGAAAGAGCTTTTGTGTCCGGGCTATGCCGGACGGTGTTGTATGGAAGCAGAAAATGGCACTTTGTGGCTTGCAGCTGGGAGTCTTTGGAAACTAGCTGAACTATTTGGGACCAGTTTAAGAAATTCCATAATGTTCTGTCTTCCTGGCTCCACAGTGGGACCCTCAAGAATGCATAAAGCAGGGCCCTTTGGCTCTCTTCCCCTTGCACCTGTTTGGCTCTGGCAGGGAATACAGCCTGCACAGCAGGATCAAGGCTTCCAGAATCCCTGGACCCAGAGCATCCCCAACTGTCTCAAACTGGGTGGGTTTAGTGACTGTGGTCAGCCCACCCCTAGTTAGAAAAAAATTGCTCCACTATGTACATATTTATTTATTTGTCTTTCCTTGGCTACCATTCTTTGCCTTGGTCTTAGCTAGTTCAACACCCAGTCTTTGAGTGTAAAGGTTGGGTGAAGGGACTGGAGTTCACCCCAGAAGCCTGCAGGTTTGGGTGACCAGCAGAGGGAGCTGCAGGGAGCGGTCAGGTGCCTTCCTACTTAGCTTTTGAAACTTGAGACCAGCAGTGGGTGAGAAGTGTACTGGCACAGCTGTGTGGGCTGTGCACCCTACACGTAAGGACGCCAGGATGGGGAGGAGGGACGTGCGCCAGCTGCCAGGGCCCCTGCTGGAGGAGATAATTGCCCAATGCAGAGGGCCTCCCTTCACGCCAGCATGGGCCTCCCCGCAGATACTGAGGATTGGGCGTGACAGTAAACCTCTGGGGTAACCCAGCCTCAGCCCTCAGTGTGAACACAGCTGAGACAGGCCTAATCTCCTCAGTGACTGTGCTAGTTCACCCCACCCCAGGTGGTATCTCTTGCTCTACCGGTCCTCTCTAGAATTGTTTTCAGTGGTTCCTTTTTTTTTGGCCTCACCTAGAGCCGTGGCGAGCACTGGAGGGGTGTGGACATGGTTCCCAGTGTGAGGGGCGCGGTAGGTTAGGATTGGGGTGTGGGGCCCCCTTGGGAAGTGCCTGATCTGGTGATTTATTTGATGTCCTGTGGCCTCTAGAGGAATGAGGGATGACATGGACTCTTGTTTTACCACATGAGGTGACTGAAAGGCTGAGGTCAGTTAAAAAGACCTTGTCAGATGACGAGGGTCATCTATCAGTGCTTGATTGGCGTCTGTCTTGGTGCTGTTGTCAAATCATAGAAAGTTAAGAATATATGGCACCCAGGGGGCTGTGGTTAACATTTTATAATCTAGTAGCATCACAGGAGGGAGAGGGGACGGAGGCCACAGGCACCTCAGGTTGGGGCCTGGGGAATCAGGGACACAGACTGTTCCAGGAGTGGGACTCTGCAGTGCCACACGGGTGCCTCACATGCTGAGCACTTAGTGCCCGTGCCTGCAGGCAGGGAAGACAGAACATCTTCATCCCAAACCCCTTGCCCCTCCGCAGAGACTATTTTCAGGCCTTTCTGGTTTCTGCAGAGGTGCCGAAGTGCACCTGAAGAGAGGGCACAGATGCGGGGCGGTGTAGAGGGACGGTGGTGGTAGCAGGAAGCCCAGTGTGGGGCTACATGTGTGTGGGGGAATTAGGACATTTAGCAGCATTTAGCAGCAGCTGTGGGTGAAGGTGGCAGCAGGACCCCAAGACAGATGCCCTCCAGATGGTGGTTACTTTAAACACTGGTCCTGGAGAGGATGTTCCAGAACTGGCTGACTCCGTGCAGAAGGCATTATCTTTGTGGGGAAATTTGGAGGAACAGGGCAGCTAGGCAGGGTAGAAATGGTCTGTTGTTTGGGGCGAGAGGTCCCAGGCTAAAATGTCACCAGTAAAGGCATCAAGGTGCCTGGGGCCAAAGTGCCTTAATTCAGAGTGCTAGGTATTCTGCAGGTGACAGCATCCTGGGGAGAGAGGGGTGTATTCGCAGTTAACCTTACAGAGGGGAGTATGTGTATGGTGTTTACAGAGTACAGAACTCTTGGCTTAGGCTTCTACAGCTCTGGAAGTGTCTAAGAATAAATACAATCATGCTAGTTGAGCTGTCCCTGTGTGGCAACAGGATTTTAAAGCAAGGCCTAGACCACAGCCCTCTGCTTCTGAAATGAAAAGCCCAACAGCCCCAGCTGTGGCCATTCCTCCTAGGATCTCCCTCTCCCTGCTAGTCCCAGTGGGCATCATTCTCAGGCCTGCATCATTGGAGGGAGCACACCTTTGTACAGCATTTCTCTTTAGATGGCGTTCCTTTTGGCAGACCCTTTGTTTTGCCAGGTCATCTTTTGTTTTTTAGCTGAACAAAATTTGGAGGCCAAGAAAACCCCAGAACAGATTGGCCAGAACTTTTTTGGAGTTTCCTGGATTTCCCTTGTGCAGGGGGTCTAGAATGGGCAGCAGCACGGAAAGATCCTTTTGTGCCAGTCTAAACCCTTACTCCCCAGGAAGGAGTGAACAGCCTGGGGCTCTGCTTAGTCTGGGGTGACAGGATCTCAGACAGCTGTGCCACCTCCCTCAGAGGTGTATCCATGTCTAGAGGGTAGGCACAGGGCGAGCAGATGTCCTGTATACTTTCTGCCATTTTAGAAAATGTAGCTAGGTTTCTCTTCACAACACAAATGGGGTCGCCCTGTCTCCGAATCCCCATATGTGTAGTAACTGAACGTGTTCTAAAGAAGTGGCTAACAGACTTTCTCTGTGAAGGGCCAGTCAATACTTAACGGCTTCGCGGGCCATATAGTTTGGTGCGTCTATAACATTTTGCCACTGTAGCCTGAAAGCTGCAGGACAGAATGTAAATGATGGCTGTGGCTAGATCCAGCCTGCTGGCCTTAGTTTGCTGATCCCTGCCCTGAGGCCAACTGAGAACACTTAGGAATCTTGCCCTGACTACCTGTCCTTAGATACACCTTCCACATCTGCAGGACCCCAGGTCAGCCTGCAAGCTCCACAGCTAAAGCTGAAGCTGGCTGCCCCTCCCATATGTTCCTTTAAAAGGCTCCATATATACCCACCCTGGGGAGCTGTTGGAAGCAGGAATTAAAGCAAAAACTGACATCCAGGAAGGGCTCGATCAGCCCACTTTCAAGGACTGGAATGGTGCTACCTCATAGCCTCAACACAAGTGACCTTTAATTGCTCTGACAGAGCCAGAGGGTGACAATGAGTAACATTAGTCCACAGGCCTAACTCTTTCCCCCTCCTTTGCAGCTGAGGAAATGGGCAGTCCCAGGACCAGAACCCTCTTCTTAGAAATTACCTACCCTCTTGCTGTGAGTGATGCTGAACTAATCACAGATTTCTACCAGCCTGCCTAATGCTGTCGGCTGGAACAGAGCTGCTGCCTCCTGCCTTGAGGAGAGCCTGGCTCGGGTATGGTGAGGACACGAGGGGAGTGTCAGGTCTTAGTCCTCACCAGGGTCCTCCTCCCAAGAGAAAGGTGGTTTGTCCGAGGCTTGCTCTGGAGTCAACCTTCAAGCTCACTATTCTACCCCCGCTCTTCCAGGGCATACTCGAGTCTAGAGCAGGGATGGGGTTGGAGCTGGGCCTGAGAAGGGGCTAGCCAGGATTTAGGGTAACCGTCAGAGAGCCAGGAAGGCTATGGTCTCTACAGCAGGCAGCAGGCACGGAACATCAGTAGGTCATCGGGCGCAGTGAGCTTCAGTGAGACGCTCTCATTGGCCCCAATGAAAAGCACCCCACCACGCTGCAGGGGGATTGGCGTCTGGACTGTAGGACTGCTGGCTGTCACTCTCCCCTGGACCACCAGGACGATGCTGGCAGAGTCCACTGCCAAGACCTTGTATTCAGTGATGGAGCCAGGGACCTGGGCAGAAAGAAACAGGATGATGCAGCTCATTTTCTGTGCCTGTCTGCTCACGGTGGGGGGGGGGGGCAGGACAGCCTTGGGTAGCGAGAGGGAGAGCTCGCCCACCTTCCCCCCCACTGCTCAGGCTCCTGTCAGCATGGAGGCCCATATCTGGTCCCTGGTACAAAGGAATGGGTAGGCCCCGTGGCAGCGGCTGGACCATGTCTACCCTGCCCCACCCCCCGCCACCTCCTTTAAAAGAAAGGGAACCCAGTTCCAGGTGTACTCCACATTGTGGCCCTTGCCAGGCTTTTTCATGCCATTCGAAAGACACCCACCACCATAGCCGCCACTGCCCCCCCCCACTCACCTCCATCCTCATGACAGTGAAGTCTGGCACGGGGGGGTCATAGATAGAGAGGTAGGGGTCTTCCAGACTCCGTGTTGGAAGAAAGAGCCTGTCCTTGCTGGGGATATAGCTGAGCATTTCACACAGGGTCGGCACATCGATGAACTTGGGGGTCAGGCCAGCACGAACGGTGTTGTCTGAACACGCCATACACTCCACACAGTCTGGGGACAGACAGGTGCCACGTGCTAACCTGATGAAGGATGTCTTGGAGTTTGGCTCATCAGGGCTGGGCCTCCTAACCCGAGGGCCATGAACCCCCTGCAGAGTTAGGCAAAAATGTGTGAAATGCATACTCTGGGAGAATGGGCTAAGAGATACCAAAAACAGGTGGTAGGTCACCCGCTTTTGTTGGGGTGTCATGTTAGCCCCTGGGGGAGCCCCAACCCTCCCCAGACTTTATTCTACCACAGAATCCTGTTCGTGAGTAGATAAACAGCCAAGAGTCAAGATGTGACACCTTTCTGCGGCAATGTATTTTCCCACAAAAATTCCTGGATAGATAGACAGGCAAAGGTGGTGTGAGGCAGGCGGGAGAACAGCCTTGAGCCAATGGAGCCTGGGTTCAGACTGTTCCCACACACGCAGACGGCAGCATGAGAGTACTGTGACCTCACAGCGTCCGTGTGAAGAGTCAAGCAGTGTCTAACACTAAGCTGGCATTCTTCATCCCTACTGGCCACTAACCAGCCCACCCCAGGAACCCTGGGAGGTCAGAGCTGGTGGGACCTTAAAGGTCTCTCTTTGACCTCCCCCTCCCCCTTTTATCTAGATGAGGAAGCAAGGCTTGGTAATGGGGCTCACTGCTAAAATGTGGCTCACCTTGGGGTACCTGGCTGCCTCAGTCAGAGGAGCATGTGACCCTTGTTGATCTTGAGGTTGTGAGTTCAAGTCCCACACTGGTTACAGAGATTACTTAAAATATTAAAAACAAACAAAAAGTGGCTCACCTCCTTTCAGGTAGGCATGGGGCACATTAGCCTCCAGAAACATGGCCTCTCCCGGCTTCAGGGCAAGCAGGTTCAGGAAGTAGATGGCAAAGCATCCAATATCACCTGGATACTGCTGATGCAGCTGCAGTAAGAGCTCCCCATAGATGTCTTCCATGTTGTTTCCAGCAGCCACTGAGGGTCACAGAGCAGCCCAAGGCCACTTAGGAACACACTCGGTGGTGTTCATAGCCCCACCTTGGCCAGCAAGTCCTGGGCAAGTCCCTGCCCACAGGAATCCAGAAACGGGTAGGTGTGTTCTCCTAGCCACAACCCCACCCTTTGGGGGCCAGCCTTCCTTGATCTTCCAGCCCATAAAGATGCCATTTTCCCCATTCTGATTGTCTATGTGCCCAGCATTATTCCAGCCACTAAAAGGGCTAAAGTTTGGGGCCAGATAATCCTTTGTTGTGGGGGCTGTCCTGTGCACTGTAGGATGTTTAGCAGCACCTTTGGCCTCCACCCAAAAGATAGCACCCCCAGCCCATGTTTGGAAACAAAAAATGTCTATAGACATCTGCCAGTGTCCCCCGATTGAGAACCACTGCTGTAGAGCTCAATCTATTTAGGGGATAGCCCAAGAGTTCCATATGGGGTGACTGACTGTCCCAGACAGCCCAGGCCCTTCCCTTTTTTAGCCCTGAAAGTACGGTGTCTCAGAAAATCATTAAGTCCCAGGCAAACCGAGTTGGTTGGTCACCCCAGAGAGCAAGAGGCAGAATATGCCCGGGACCAAAAATGTGTCCTCAGCCTGGGCTAGAGTAGTGGGAGAAGGCTTTGGAAATTAGGGGAGGGCAGGGTGGTGAGCTCAAATTTCTTGAGTGTGCAGAGAGGAGGGAAGGGCATGAGTAAATGAAAGCTGAATGTGTCAGTGCCAAAGTGAAGAAACCAGCTGATCTGGATTGGAGGGTGGTTCTGAGTCTTCCTACAAAGACGTGAATACCCGCTCTGTGCTAAGCACTGGGAACATAAAGGTCAAAGAGCCAGGTCCGTGGCCTGGAGAAAACTCTGGTTTTCACAAGTGTGCATGTGATGATATAGACTCACAGGTGCTAAAGGCTCTACCTCACTTAGGAACAGGGGGTTCTGGGAACTCCCGGCAAGCGTAATCTGTTCTGTCAAGAGTGCAAGAAGCCCCAAAGGGGAGGCATGCAAGCAGAGACAACACCAAAAACTAAACAAAACAAAACAAAAAAAACCCAAAGAAAAAGGATATGCTTGGATAAAATAGTTCTCTGTGGCTCAGAGGTAGCAGGGGAAATGTGTAGAGAAAGAACCAGAAGAGCTCCAGGGTCTCCTAGAGAAGGGGCTGGGGCCTCATCACATGTGCCCCATAAGCTCATACCTGGAGTCCACTCTGCCTTGTTTTATACTGCTTGTACTGGCCTCCCAACCCAAATGTGACAACCACACCCATCACAGTCATTTCCTGAACTCTCCTTAGTTAGCACAAGGTTGGGCACAGAGCAGGTATTTAAGGAAACGTGTGTGTGTGAACAAAAAAAAGCGGGGGGGGAGAGAACTACTGATTGAAAGTTCTGGGCTTCTGGGCTTCAGGCCTTTCGAGAAAAGGAGATGAGGATCCCCTTATCCTCTTCCTGCTCTCTAGGCCCAAAGTACAAATCCATCCATGAGGAGCGACTGTAGGGCCGGGGAAGTCTCAGAACGCCTAGGTGGAAGACCTCCTTATAGTCGTCCAGGCCCATCTGTCTGTAGCCCTCTAGAGAAAGAGCCAGTTAGGAAGCAGCACTCAACCTAGGGCCCTGCTCCACAAAGACAGAAAGAAATGCTCAGTTGCTAATAGGCCATCTAAGTCATCTAAGGGACCATTTTGGTGTTCCACCTGAGCCGAAGGGTTGAGAAGCCTGTCCTCATGGACTAGTATTGTGCTGGGGCAAGGCAGGACAGGGCACTGCACCCAGGCGCAGAACACCCACCTTGCTGGGAGATCCGCTTCACCAACAGATTGAGCTGCTCCACCACCACCTTCTTCTCACTCTTCATCAGGTGGGAGAAACAGCTCTGCAGAGCAGAGGCCACAGACTGGGAGTCACTGTTCATGCTCTGCTTCAGCTGTGTTGCTGCATTATCTCCGATGAGAAACCGGAACTCAGGCACCTCTGCAGGAAGGCCAGGCCAGGGCCCATATCAGGAATGGCAAGATGGAACTCAAAGAAGCAGGAAGTCGGAGGAGGCCTCCCTATCCCATCCCTAACCAAGGAGCCAGGCGATGCTAAGCAAACTCTGAGGTGAAAACCAACTGCTCACCACCAGCCTCAGCAACCACACCTGAGCCTGGTCTCACAGGCCTGCCCCAGTGGCTTCAAGAATTCATCAGGCCAACCAGCCCCCCAGTTCCTGTGACACTTAGCCTCTGTTCTCTGCCATTGCTCCAGCTCTGCCTGGGGTTGCCCATGCATCGTAGGCCCAATATGCATGTTCTCAGCATTTGCCCAACCTTACTTGTCAGAAACGTCACAA